AGGCCCCAGTGGCTGCGTTCGCATGCCTCCCCACCACACCCCTCATACGTTTCGTGGCCCCATAGGGAGCTCCACCGAAGGCCCCAGTGGCTCCCCACCACCCATTTCGGCACACCCCTCACACGTTTCGTGGCCCCATAGGGAGCTCCACCGAAGGCCCCAGTGGCTGCGTTCGCATGCCTCCCCACCACCGATTTCGGCACACCCCTCACACGTTTCGTGGCCCCACAGAGAGCTCCACCGAAGGCCCCAGTGGCAGGGTCCGCATGCCTCCCCACCACCCGTTTCGGCACACCCTTCACACGTTTTGTGGCCCCATAGGGTGCTCCACCGAAGGCCCCAGTGGCGCGGTGCCTACGAGAAGAGGGGCCTAGTTTGCGTGCCCCCCTCCTTCGTCTCATATCCGTGCGGTACTCGCAGCTGCATATGGTCGGGTCCTTCGCCAGGCGTTTTTTCTTCTTTTTTTTTTTTTTGGGGGGGGGGGGGGTGTTTATATGTGTATATATATGATCATTCCTACAGGCGTAGGGGTGCTTCTAGGCTGCGCGCAGTCTATGACGTGGGTTAATATTTATTTGCATGGCGTGCTGGACTTTGCGCATGCCAACTTTTTCCCTGTACGAGTGCGAGCTTATGTGGGTGACACCGCCCAAACTCAGCAGGGTTCGGTTAATGAGATCGTCAGCGCCAGTGTTCCAGCAGCCGCGTGGCTACATCATCAGCTTGAAGCAGCTGGTACTGTTATTTCGGACAAGAGTGCTATGGTATGTGCGAGTGTCGCCCTGGCGCGAGCTGTCACTACTCGGTTGGATAGTGCTGGCATCAGGTTTCGTTGTGAGCGTGCTGTGCGTGATCTGGGGGTCATGGCCACTGCTGGTAAGAGGCGCTGCGCGCGTAAGGTGAAGGAGCGGCAGCGCAGGGCCCGCAAGAAGGCCCAGAAGGTTTCTTACCTCACGAAGCTGGTTAGTCGGGTCAGCCGTTTGTACAAGCCCGCTGTTTTGGCGGTCGGGTCCTGGTGCCGTGAAGTTTTGAGGCTCGCGCCTAGTCAGGTCCAAGGCATGATGGCCCCGGCTGCCATGTGCTCTGGGTGGTGGTCGTCGGGGGTTTGTACCACCCCGGTCTTGGGACTTCTGGGTTCGGCCAAGGGTGACCCCCAGTTTAGGCTTCGGTGTGATCAGTTGTTCAGTTTTGCTAGCATTTGGAAGCACTTGGGCCACTCCCAGAGGATGATGATCAGTAAAACATGGAAAACATGGGAACGTATCAAGGTTAAGTTTGGTTATGCCAGATATCGTTGGAAAGTTGTTCGGTGTCCTATTGCCGCGGCCCTCGCTGTCTTGCTGGATTTAAGTTGGGAGCCCATTTCTCCTGTTTGCTGGCGTGCAGGCGCACGCGAACCCCGCATCGTTGATGATGAGTTTCCCTCAGCCTTGTGGGGGCAGTTGCTGGACACATGCTCGGCGTCGTCTTGGCAACAGGCCGCTCGCCATTACATGGGTGCAGGGCTGGAAGGAGAGGCTGACTTTACAGTGGTGAAGAGGGCCTTTGCTAAGCTCCAGAAGGACGGGGAGGTGGAGGCAGCAGGGATTCTTAGAAATGCGATTACGGCATGATATTGGACAGAGGCCAGATTGCGTGACGCTGGCTACCTGTCAGTCTCCAGGGGCTTGTGCCCTAGGTGCGGCGCCTCAGTTGAGACGCCCGCCCATCGATTTTGGGAGTGCGAGTGCAATCGGGACATCCCCGATCAGGTCGTGGAGCGCACCGATCGTCTGGCGTCGCTTGTGAGATCGGAGCCTGAAGAATATTGCCTGTGGTTTCGGGGTCTCCCTTCCCTCGGGGCCTTATGTGGCCACTTATCTGCTCCCCAGGAGCGTGTTTGGGAGTGAGACCGACTGGTTGGGGGCTCTTAGCATCCACGGTGGAGTCTGGGGGATAGATGGATCGCGGGGTCAGTGCACTAAGGATTGGAGGCTCCGCCGATGTGCGTGGAGTTGTGTACACTTAGGGCCTGCTGGGCTGTGCGATGGCGTTCTTAGCGGGTCGCTTCCGACGAGGCGACAGTCGTCCCCGCGTGCTGGACTTTATGCACTTATCCAGTTGGCGTTGAGCAGTACTGGAGATTGTCGAGTGCATTGTGATTGTTTAGCGGTGGTGAAAGGGGCTCGGCAGCCTCTGGAGGCCAAGCAGCGCTCGAGCATGCAGGACTTATGGGCCCGCTATCATGCTGTCATGGAAGATCGTGGAGGAAATCTCAATGTGCTTTGGACAAAAGGACATGCCACTGATGCCCAACGCCGAAACATGTTGCTCTCGGATGCAGAGCTGTATTTGACTCGTGCCGCGGATCGTTTCGCGGAGGATGCTGCAGCGAGAGTTCAGGTTTCTGAGGATGACGTCAGGCGCACCCTGGAGGCGGATCGTCTCGCTTCGGAGGTGCTTTTTCGTCTCTTGGCAGTGCAAAGGGGGGTTTTGTTTAGTGGCGAGCGTGATCGGGCTGCTCGTGCGCCCCGCCGAGAGCGAGGGCAGTCCACCAGATTTGCTGAGAGAATGTGTCGTCTCCGTGATGTAGGACACCAGCCTGAGAAGAGGAAAGCGGTGATCCGCTGTCCTGTCTGTGCGAAGGGTTTCACAATGCGGGGCTCTCTGCATGATTTTTGGCCTGATCCTTGCAAGCCGCGTTGCACACTGCAGCAGCGAGTACAGTTGCTGCCTGCACGCCCAGTGAGTAGTCGGTGCCCTGGACCATCCGTTAGCGGATCAATGCGACACCTCACACCACCTCGCTGCGCAGCGAGGGGTGCTGTTTTTGTACTACCTGCTGCGCCTTTTGCACAGTGAAGGCGCCGCGGGACTTGGCAAAGAAGTGCCACCCGCCCACGAAGACTGGGCGTGATGTGCTGTCTCGGTTCAGACGAGGTATGCCGCCTCGGTCAGGCACTTCTTTCCCTGACTTGAGCTGAGGTTGTTGAGTCGCGGCCTGCCTAGATGCAGGGACACTCTTTGAGGAATTAGGAATTAGGAATCCCCCCCCTCCTCCTCCTCCTCCTCCTCATCCTCCTCCTCCTCCTCCTCCTCCTCCTCCTCCTCCTCCTCCTCCTCCTCCTTTGTCCTCCTCCACCTCCTCCTCCTCCTCCCCTCCCCTCCCTCCCTCCCTCCCTCCCTCCCTCCCTCCCTCCTCCTCCCTCCTCCCTCCTCTCCTCCTCCTCCTCCTCCTTCCTCCTCCTCCTCCTCCTCTCCTCCTCCTCCTCCTCCTCTTGCCTCCTCCTCCTCGCCTCCTCCGCCTCCCTCCTCCTCCTCCTCTCCCCACCTCCCTCCGTCCTCCCTCCCGCCCTCCCTTCCTCTCCTCCTCCTCCTCCTCCTCTCCTCCTCCTCCTCCTCCTCCTCCTCCTCCTTCCTCCTCCTCCTCCCTCCTCCTCCTCCTCCTCCTCCTCCTCCTCCCTCTCCTTCCTCCTTCTCCTCCTCCTCCTCCTCCTCCTCCTCCTCCTCCACCTCCTCCTCCTCCTCCTCCTCCTCCTCCTCCTCCTCCTCCTCCTCCTCCTCCTCCTCGGGTCGCCTACGACCCCGGGGCAATCCGTGCCGTAGGGCAATTTTCTTCACCCCCCATTTTGGGCCACCCGCCGTTGCCGACCGCCCGAAGGTCGGCGGTCCCGAGGTCGGGTCCTGAGGCCCCCTCGACCCCCTCGCGCTGAGCAGCAATAGTCACGGCGGGAAGTTTCTCTCGCCGCCGACGAGACGAGTCGACGAGAAGCGGGGTCTCGGGCTGTCCGGCCTCGAAGCCAGGCGATTGTTCGGGCAGTGAGCGCAGACCAAATCTCAGGCTGTTCGACCTCGAACCCACGACGGGAGGTTTTTGTTCGCCGTCTTCGGCCCGGGGTCGTCAACAAAACGGCTTCAGGGAGGAGAAGCCGGTCCCAGGGGGGAAGGGGTCCAGACTTCTGGGGGGTCGACGTTGTGAGAAAATCACGACGTCGGGGGTCAGGAGGGTAGAAAGGGATCCACTTTGATCGAATCAGGTAGGGTGGGCAGGATGGGTAGGAAAGTCAGGGGGTAAGAAGGGAAGGATCGGGGTAGGTAGGATGGGTAGGAAGGTCATGGGGGTAGGAATAGAAAAAATCGCGACGTCGGGGGTCCAGGGTGGATCTAAGTTGTTTGGGGCACCTCGTCCTCAGGGGCCCCATCCCTCAGGATTCCATCTTTGGATCACTGGACAGCCCAGGCGGGGCCATGGATCGGTCACGCTAGCCTCCCGCCCCGCGGAGCGGAGCGACGCGCAATCCGTTGGGGTTTGCTGGAATGTGCATTGTCGGCCGCGCCCCGAAGACGGCATTTCCAATCTGTTTGATGGGTTTGGGAAGGCTTGCTTTTGCATTTTTCGTGATTTTTGCGGTGTTGGGTGGGACTTATGCCTGTAAAGAGTAGTGGCCCAGCGCCCGTGCCAACGAGGAGCCCGATGGCGTCCCTGACTCCAGATCCGCCGGATTTTGCTTGATTTTCCCGCTTCAAATATTGCGTCGGAAGTACACCCCAAACGATACGAAATAATGGGGCGGAAATTCCCGCCTCGGACAAGTTGGGCGGACAGTTCCGCGAAAGTGTGGTGGAACCTTCTCGACGGCAAGATAAGGCGGAGATCGACATCAGAGGAACTCAGAAAACAGGGCGGAGATTTCCGCCCTTCTTACGGCATCGCCCAAAGCAGGGCGGATCCGGAGTCAGAGGTGGTGAACGTTTTCTGATTCATGGTCTTGCCGATCGGCGCGGGCCCACGGACCCCCCCTTCCCCCCCTCTGTGGAGTAGATCCTGGCCGTTCTGGGCGCCTGTTTCGAGCAAGTGGGGCCCCTCCTCCATAGGACGCACTGCTGTCAACAGTCGCAGCAGGCAGAGGTCCGGAGCCAGACCCCCCCCCTCACCCCTTTCCGCCCAATGCCAGACCGCCGAAGAAGAAAACGCTCGCGTGTGTTGGCCCCATGCCCTCACCGCGCCCACCTCCACCGACAGCACGCTCGGCCCGCTCCGGCCCTCACCACACCGCCTGCATGGTGCGTGTCGACGGGCCTCGGAGGACACGGGCAGCACACCTTGGCGACGGCACGCTCCGAGGCTCCTCGGCAACGGCTGGGATCGCGCAGCTCTGCCGGTGCCATCGGCGAACGCGGTGGCGATGCGGGGCCGCACCTCGGCGCCCAGGCGATCGCCGGTGCATCGGCGGCGCGGTGCGGCCTCCCCGGGTGCCACCTGCTCTGGGGGCCCACCCGGGCGGCCTCCAGCGGGAGCGATGGCTGCCGAAGAGGGCGCCGGCCTGGAGGAGGAGCTGATGCAGCTGGAGGAGCCGATTGCACTGTGCAGCGGTGTGTCTGTGTGTACGTGTGTCCTCGTGTGTGGATGTGTGTGTGTGTGTGTGTGAGTGTCAGAAGCCGGGCGGAGGCTGGGAAACCCGTGGCTGCTAAGACGTAGTTCCGGGAAGTTGTTCTTTTCTTCCAGGAAGCAGCTCGTTTACTAGATTTAGTGCGCGGAGCTTGATTCCGGGAACCTGTTTTTTCTTCCGGGATAAGACCGTTTTCGCAGCCACGGATTTGCCAGCCCTCGCCCAGCTTCTGAGTGTGGATGCTTGTGTGTGTATGGGCGTCGCCACCCACCAAACCACCCCAACCCAACCCGAAGGCCTCCATTTGCCCTCCATTTCCAGTGTGGGGGGGGTCGGGGAACATTGAGAAAACACGTATGGAACCCGTACCCCGCCCCCCCAACCCGAAATTCGGGTCTTCGGGTTGGGTTGGGGTGGTCTGGTAGGTGGTCGGAGTCCGTGCGTGTGGGCGTGTGGGCGTGAGTGTGCCACAGCCTGGCGGACACCGCCTGGCCTCGGGTGGAGCCGGCGAGAGCTCGGAGCGCACTGCAGACCACCTTGAGGTCTGGCCTGCGCAGGGCCACCCAGGAGGCACTGCACAGCGTGAGGAACAGGAGGGAGAATAACACACGGACACAATCAATCGTCGACTCCCAAGAAAGTATGGGAAAATATGGGAAGGGGGGGAGAAGACGAGAATCCAGAAAATATGGAACAATATGGGGAATCCTGGGATCTGTGTGCATTTGTTTGTGTGTCCCAGGGCTCCTTGAAAAGAACAGCTCCCGGCCGGGGGCAGAGGGGTCCATCCAAGACAGAGGCGCCCTGCGCCCCTGTCGGGGCTTGGCGCACGTGCTACGTTCACCACGCGTCGGTGGGTGCAGAGAGCGCTCGAGGGTGCAACTCGCTTCCCCTGCCCGTGACTGCTTCGCCGCCCGAGGCCCTGGGAGCCCGCGGGCCACCAGAGATCTCCCCTGGGCTGTGAGGAGGAACAGAAACAGAGAAACGCCCTACGCATAGGGCGATCCCAGGACCACCGGGCGCATCGACTCAGTAGCAGGAAGGCCTCATCCGCCGCAGCTGCCGACCCTGGCGCGGCCCAAGCGCCCGAGGCCGAGAAGAGGCCCCCCGCCCGCCGACAGGCAGAGGGCCCCAGAGCGGGCCGTCACGAGCAACGCCAGGGTTGGCGGCCTGCCGCACGGGCGGCAAGCCACCTGGAAGACGGTCGCACGGGCGGCAGAGCCATTCTTTTCTTCCCTTCTCCTCCTCAGTCTGAGGCACTCGTGGGGCGTGGCCTTTGTTTTTCCAAGGCCCCGGCCTTGAGGGCGCTGGCTGGACGGACGGCGCTGCCGACACCCATGAACCCCGCTCGAATCAACCAAAAACATTTAGAAGACGGTCGCGTCTACGGCGCCGTTCCCTCAGCGCAGGCGTGCACTCAGATGGTGTGTGTGTGTGAGTGTCTGTGTCTGTGTGTCTGTGTGTGTTAGTGTGTCTGTTTGTGTGCGTGTGCGAGTGCGTTTGCGTGTGTGTGTGCTTGTGTGTGTGCGTGTGTTTGTGTGTCTGGTTGTGTGTGTGCGCGTGCGTGTGTGTGTGTTGTGTGTGTGTGTGTGTGTGTGTGTGTGTGTGTGTGTGTGTGTGTGTGTGTGTGTGTGTGTGTGTGTGTGCGTGCGTGCGTGCGTGCGTGCGTGCGTGCGTGTGTGTGTGTGTGTTTCTGTGTGTGTGTGTTTCTGTGTGTGTGTGTCTGTGTGTATGTGTGTATCTGTGTGTATATGTGTGGATCTGTGTGTGTGTGTGTGTCTGTGTGTGTGTTTGTGTGTTTGTGTCTGTTTGTGTGCGCGCGCTGGTCTCTTGTTGCCTCCCAGCGGTATCGCCGCTGCTGCCACTCTCCTGCGCCCCCGCCCGCCCTCTTGCGGTCTGCACGGCAGGCCGCACTGCTGGTACCGCCCGTCGCTCCTCCTCGTTGCTCCCCCCGCGTCTGTCCTCCCCCACGCTCCCTGCCCGTCGCAGAAGAAAAGACGCCACAAACGTAAACTTTTGGCGCTGCGCGCCTCCTCCTCCTCCTCCTCCTCCTCCTCCTCCTCCTCCTCCTCCTCTTCCTCCTCCTCCTCCTCCTCCTCCTCCTCCTCCTCCCTCCCTCCTTGGATCGGCGCTGGGCCCCCGCGGCGACAGCGCCTCTAGCGCTTCCCCTGGCACGCTCCGCGCGCCAGGGAGGGGGGTCCAGCGCAGATCCAGGAAATCCGCGCGGAGCGCCAAGAGTTTATGTTGATGCCGTGTTTTCTGCTCCCCCCCGGGTACGCGTTTTGCACGTTCGATCCCCCACGGGCGGATCCCCGTTCCTGGCTGCCGAGTGGCCCGGCTGCGCGTTCTCTCCGCTTCGCCTCGACCTCCTGTGCCTCGACGCCACGCGCGAGGCCGCGGCGCCCCAAGAATTGGGTCTTTTGCTCCTCCTCCCCGCCCACTTTTGGCTCGATGAGGCCTCGCGCAAAATTGGCAATTTCTGTGACGGCGCGAACTGGGAGTCAAAAAGTCCCAGGCGACATCGACATGGACGCTGTCAGGATGACGTCCCGAGCGAGATCGCCACTTGCCAGTCGAGTGGCCAAGTTCCTCTGGCCTCGTCCGTCGGTTTTCGGGGAGGCTCCAGGTTCTGGCGCTCGTCGCTGGCTGCCGGGCTCTCGCGGGTGGGCCTTATTTTGTTGGACCTTTCCACCGAAGCTTGCTTTTGCTCCCCTCGGTTCTCTCCCTGCGATTCCGTGAGCCAGGACGGGCTCGATTTGGCTCAAGACACAGCTCCAGATTCCACGGAACATATATGTTGTTGGCGCTGGTCTCGGTTTTCCTGCCCTCAGGAGGAGGAGGAAGAGGAGGAGGAGGAGGAGGAGGAGGAGGAGGAGGATGGGAGGAGGAGGAGGAGGAGGAGGAGGAGGAGGAGGAGGGAGGAGGGAGGAGACGGAGGAGGAGGAGGAGGAGGAGGAGGAGGAGGAGGAGGGGAGGAGGAGAGGAGGAGGAGGAGGAGGAGGAGGAGGAGGAGAGGAGGAGGAGGAGGAGGGGGGGGGAGGGGGAGGAGGAGGAGGAGGAGGAGGAGGAGGAGGAGGAGGAGGAGGAGGAGGAGGAGGAGGAGGAGGAGGAGGAGGAGGAGGAGGAGGAGGAGGAGAGGAGGAGGAGGAGGAGGAGGAGGAGGAGGAGGAGGAGGAGGAGGAGGAGGAGGAGGAGGAGGAGGAGGAGGAGGAGGAGGAGGAGGAGGACGAGGAGGAGGAGGAGGAGGAGGAGGAGGATGAGGATGGAGGAGGAGGAGGAGGAGGAGGAGGAGGAGGAGGAGGAGGAGGTGGAGGAAGAGAAGGAGGAGGAGGAGGAGGAGGAGAGGAGGAGGAGGAGGAGGAGGAGGAGGATATCCAACTCGGCGCGAGCGTCCGGGCGGGAGCGGCCGCCAGCCGGCCGGCGGCCAGCCGCTCAGGCTGTCACGGGCCCCGCGCAGGGCAAAAGGCAGACTCTCGCTGCTGCAGCTCTGCTCGGGTAGCGGCCAGCCTCAGCCACGCGCAGAGGGGACCCCCTGTCGGCAACGCGCAGAGGGGGGGTAGGGGGAGGGGAGGAGGAGGAGGAGGAGGAGGAGGAGGAGGAGGAGGAGGAGGACGACGACGAGGAGGACGAGGAGGACGACAGGGAGGGGGGAGGGCTTCTTAGAAGCACCCCTGCTTCTTAGAAGGCGCGGGCCGTATCTATAGATGTAAGGCCGGCGCCTTCTGAGAAGCAGCCTCCCTCTAAGAAGCCTTCCCCTCTCCCCCCCCCCCCCTTTCTGCGCGCCGCCAGCAGCCTTCGAACAGAAGGGCTCCTCGGTCTTGTGATCGTTTTGTTGTCCGTTGTCTTGCCGATCGGCGCGTTCCCCCCCGCCCCCTGGAGTGGATCTCGGCTGCTTTTTGGCGCCTGTTTCGAGCAGGCGGGGTCCCTCCCCCATCGGCCGCACTGCTGCAAACAGTCGCACTAAGCAGAGGTTCGGAGTCAGGCCCCCCCCCCTCCCCCTCCTTCCGCCCAATGTCGAAACGACGAGTAAAGACGTTGACCTTCGTGTGCTTACGGTCAACGCACTTGGTAAGGACGCGCGCCTTCATCTGGGGCGCCCTCGTGTCCTTGCCTCTGCGGCCCGTCCTTTTGCCGTTTTCGCTGATCGGCCGGCCCCCCCCCCCCCCCCGCAAAAATCCCAACTTAGGCCTCCAAGGTTCTTGCGCCCGCACCACCCGTCCTTAGTGCACGTTTTGATCGTACCAGCGGTCCAGGGCCGCCGTGGGCACCTTCTCGAGCCGAGTCCGGCAGAGCCTCTCGGCGCCGGCAGCCACCCAAGCGGCCGCCGGGAGGGTCTCCTTGGCCCGTCAGGAGGAGCGGATGGCCCTGGAGGAGGAGCTCGAGCAGCTCCGCTTCGAGGTTCAGGAGAAACCCAGCCGCCCTGCCCCCAGGAGGAGGACCGAGGACGCAGGGTCGTAGGGACGGGGACGGGATGAGGATGCTGGAGAAGATGGACAGCGTGAGTTTTTGATTTGCCGCAAACCGATATTTGGCGAAGGCGCCGGCCCAGAATACCCTGGACGCGAACGTTTGATGTCGATGTTTGTTCACTTGGCGAAGGCGCTGCGCGTCTTACACCCGCGATCGAAAATCATTCATTGATGGTGTTCTACGTTGGCAGTGGCGTGTCCAGAGTTAATCGGACTGACAGCACTGGGATGTGACGGGAGGGGAAGGTGGGCAGGTGAGCTCCTCGCCGGTCTCTTCTCCTCTAAGCCCTGCTCTTGGTTCCCACGCGTGCTCGTGCTCCCGCAAGGTCCCATTCTAGCTTCCCACATGCTCAGTGGGGTTTGAGCGTTCTCCCCACCCGTGCAAAGCGTGGCAGGCGTGGCAGTTCCACAACATCACAACGGGTGCGCTGAGGATTGAGGCGCTATCCGCTTTAGGTCGTAAAGCGTGGCAGGCGCTACATTTTTCTCGACACCACAGGGGGTGCGCAGGTGGCCACAAGATATGAGCACAACTGGTGTAAGCTAAGTACGTGGGATTCCTCGGTAGTGTCATTTTCTCGCTCCCTTCACGGCTTCGCTGGCAGCGAACACCGAGTCCTTGAGCAGGCCAAAACATAAGAGGAGAGTATGTGGAATGAGTGAGAATAACAAGCAAATGTGCGGGCAGCGTTGACTCGCGAAGCAGCGCTGCACCCCCATCATCTGGACGTCGAGCTGCCATCGCATATAACACTGAGAGAACCAAACTGGGGAACCATGGCTTGCTCGGGCTTGTAGGGGCCAGTACCGCCCCAGTGTTACCCTGACAAGGCACCGTTGAGCGGCAGGGCTTGGCTTCCTCGGCCCTGCGTTTCTTGAGGCCCCTGCTGTCTCGATGGTGTTGGATCAGGCCCGTAACTCGGTTACCCGCCGGGTATTCCACTTCAGGGCCAGAGAAGAATGGCACCCTGTGCTGCTTATGCAGCACAGACGGCGCCGCCATGCCAGGGTCATGGACGACGGGGAGCCTCTCGGGGGCCCTTTCCGAGGCTTCTCGAGGGGTTCGTTGGGGGCATCTGGGGGATCCCGAGCAGTTCTCGGAGTCGAGGCTCCTAGCGGTGTGACGGCGGCGCTTTTTGGGGGAGCCCCCTCGGGGGGCCGTCCGGGAGGCTTCCTGGGGCTCCCCCGTCGGAGATCTCGGGGCCCGTCTTGGGGCGATCCTGGTGGCCTCTCGGGGTCCGCTCGTGGATGCTTTCAGGGCTGAACGGGCGAAGATGTCAGGGCCGTGTCTTATTCTCCGTTGCTCTATCATACGAAGCCCACCGCCAGGGCTTCCAAGATTGTCCGAGAGATTCATAGTACGACTCCACGACGGACTAGCGTGGCCACCACCTCAAAGGCATCTGGAAAGTCTGGGTCGCCAATCACGCTTCTGGGGGCGCCAGGCAAGCGTCGAGACCGACCAGCAGAACCTGGCATTCCTGGCAATCGGGGGTCCAGGGCCCTTCCGAGCAGTAAAGCTTTGCACATTGACAATGCTTTTTGGCACTGAGGACACTCCGCTCAATGCCTGCGGCACTGTGGCGGATAAGCCTGCTGTGAGGGAGACGCGGGGGGGGTGGGGGGGCAGAGCATAATACTTAGTTTCATGGATTCCAAAAGGCTCCTTCATGCTTTCTAATTCGTAACGGCCAGCATGCCAACGGGAAGTTAAACGGAAGCCATAGAAAAGGTCAACGGACGCACAAGTAGGGGCAACGGGCAGGCGAAAGCGAAGTGCACGATGGAAAAAAACATGGCGCACTGACAAGACTTGCCAGGTGCTAAAGTTTTTTGACAATCGGCGGAGAATTGCATAGCTGGTTCCGCGTGCCGGATGCAAAAATGCCCTGATGCGGAGTCGCGATCCTTCGTTAGCTCTGTGGGATGGCTGGCCAGCGAAGCAAGAGCGACAGCGTTGGATAAGGATTCTCAGGGCCACGCCGCGTCAAAGCGAGAACGAATACAATGGAGCATCGCGTTGACATCGGCATGACAACGACGATGGCGAAGATGACACTGACAATCTCAAGTGACCCATCCAGAGTGATTGAGTTGTGAGTGGGTCCAAGTTGGAGTGATTGTTTGACAGGTTTGTATGGAACGGAGTAATTCTCACACCGTTTTGTATGTATGTATGTATGTATGTATGTATGCATGTATGTATGTATATATAGATGTATACACAAGATATTGTTGGCTCGCTCCGCTTCGCCACAACATCTTGTCCCTCATCCTCATCCTTGGCGCAGGAGCGCGGGTCTGGTACCTCGCCGCGCTATGTTGTCACAGCATGTGGCGAGCTCGTGAACTTTCATTGCCATAGGGGTGTAAACTTGATGTTTGTCGCGAGCTCGACGGCTCAGGGCTGCTTGGGTGTGTTTTTGTAAGGAGTGAACATGTTTGGAAGTGAAGAACCACCCGACGGGCCGAACCAATTTGTGGTTCACGTCGACGGCTGTTTTTTTCTTCGGGGCCCCGGATGCGAGCGTCTGGCGCTCTGCGGGCACGCTGGCGCCGAGAGGCCGTCGTGTGCGTGCGTGTGTGTGTGTGTGTCTGTTTTCGTGAGGACAGAGCATGTGCGCGGACGCAGAGCCACCCGAGGGGCCGCACCAATTCTTGG